ACCGTCGGAGGCCGTGTTGTCGGATCATTTCAAGCCACTTCCTCCTGGCGCCTCGGAGGACACTCGCAAGCAACATTTGAAAAAGTTGAGAGCACGAGTCGCGCTGCAGGAGACGCAGCACAATCTGCTATGGGCTCAGGACATGGACACGTCGGAGTGTGCTCATCAGCTCTCAGTATCAAGAAGATGCCGGATTGTTCATCTCCCCTTCGAGACGCAATTGGCCATGGTCGACGGCAGCATCGAGCGCATGCAACAGCGTGTCGAGATCGCTCAGACGACGTGGGAGTCAGAGCAAAAGGAGGCGGACGCGCCCAATATCAATTACGACAGATTATTCGATCAAGCGAAGGCTCTCAAGAGGACCCGTTTGGAGCTGATGGAGGCCATCGGGGACGAAAACGCAGCCGAACGGGAGGGCGATTCTGCCGACGTGGAGGCAGCGTTCGACCTCTACGGAGAGACGCCGAGCGGGGAGCAGGCGGGGGTGTCGGCGCCGTTGCCCAAGGCCGCGGCTGCGGTGTCGGCGGGGGAGGTCTCGGCGAAGACGCAGCCGCCACCGCCCCCGCCGCCCGCAGCGTCTGCAGCGCCTATGGGCGACCCTCCGCCGCCGCGTCCCACGCCGCCCCCGCCATGGCCAGCGCCGTCGACGCCACCGAGGATTGCATAGGGAGGTGGCATGTCACGGATAGCTCCAAGGTCGCCCAATGTTCAAACCACAGTTCAGAAGCAGTTGGCGCCAGTGCAACAGGAGATGCAGGCAATGGCTGTCTGCATTCAGCAGATGATGGAACACTTCAAGGGGGCGCAGTCGTGCCCAGTGAGCCCGCCATCGCCGTTATCGGTCAAGACAGCGTCTATCGCACCCACGGAGGTCGCAGACTCAGATGGCAGGCCGGTCGCTGGCATGAGATCGCCCTCTTCTGGCAGGGCAAGGTCGCGCAGCGAGGATCGGCCCAGCGCGCGCGGGCGCGTCGCGGAAGCCACGTCGTGCAGCCCGCGCACATCGAGATCGAGAGCGCCATCTATGTCGCCAGAGGAGTATATTCAAGCCATGGCACAATCGGGCCTGCGCGCAGCGTCGCAGGAATACGCTGCCATTTGATCAGTGATGCGTCTACCCCTTCTTCGGCAGCGGGCTGGTGCTGGACGCCGTGGTCCGCTGACGTTCAATTACCTCGGCGGCGTCTGCCACGGGGGCGTCTTCTTGGTCGGGCACCTCAGCGCGCGCAGCAACTACAACGAGCCGCGGAAGGCGCGAGGCCGACCCAGCAGGTGGGTCACAGGTCAGGCGGCCCAAGGTTTCGCGCCGCATTCGTGACCGCATTTGTGACCGAATGCTCTGACAACCGCTGCTCTGCACGTTGTCCTGGGGCCCCTGGGGGTGGCCCCGCCCCCCCGCTGGCCTCGTCTGCGTCTCCCCCTCGCTCGGGCCCCTGGCCCTCAGGGGGTCCCACTTTTAGATTTGATGAGGGCTCAGCTGGTGCGGGGCCAGTCCACAGTGCCGATGGCGTTGGCGAGGTGCCCAGCTCAAAGGGCTGCCCTGGGATCGTGGGGGGCGCCCCTGCCCTCGCCCATCCTCCGTTTGGATCTCCGCCCCTCTCCTTCCTGAGGGGCTCCCGAATGATCCCAATTTGATTTCTGACCCCTTGCCTTATCTGGCTTGTTTTTTTTGTTTTGGGGGGGGGGGGATTTGGGCGCCCGGGGCTTTCGAACATCCAGGGTCGGTTTTTGAAGCTTCGTGCCGCGATCGCATGGGGGGGGGGGGGGGCGTCTCGCGCGCGCCATGCCGAAGATGTCCACCCCCCCGCCCTTCTCTCCTCCTCCCTCGCTGTGGGCGTGGGAGTTGGTGCCCCCCCTCCTGCCCCTGGTGCCCTCGGGGGGATTGAGGGCCCTGGGGTGCCCATCTCGCTCGCCGACGCCCTGGGTTCTTGCGCAGCGGCCAAGAAGGGTGCCATGCGGTGCGGTATTCAGCTACCACGATCAATTTTGGAAGGGCCTGTCCGGTGGTTTCAAGCTATCAGGAGACGTGGGTGACCGTGGAGGTATCCATCCACTGGCGTCCACGGCTTTGGATCTCGTGCCTGCGCAGTCAGGCATGGGCACTATCAGCTTTCTCTTTGTTGACGGGTCTCTCGGCGCTTCCGATTCCGAGGGGCGGTCCATGACTGAGATGCTCGGCCGCACTACCCACGCCCTCTACCTATCAGCTCGTACCCAGTGCGAAGTTCAGATTTGTTATGCACCAGGTCATTGTGGTCATCTTCGGGGCGAACTTTGTCACGGCCTTGCCAAGCGTGCGGCCCGTGGTTCGTTTCTCTCGCCCTCGGCGCCGATCGTGGACGTTCTCGCCTCCTCCCGTTGTCCGGAGTGGGGCTGGCTCAGGCGTGCTCCCAGGGCCCTGCGTTCGGCCTATCCTCCGTTTGACGGCCGTGGATTGCGGCGTCGGCCTCGGCCCGCTCTCACCACCTGCTCGACTCTCGCTTCCACTGCCCCTTTGCCCGATCCTTCTAAGGAGAAGGTTTCCGTCCAGGGTGCCCCCCCCCCCCCCCCCTCGCCCCCCTCGCACCCAAAGTCGAGGCGCAGATGTCCCTGCGAGTTGCCCCTTACAACGCTTTGGCGCTTCGGCGCAGTGATTCTGAGGACCCTTCCGATCGATTTGCGGAAGGCAGCCGGAAAGTTGACCTCCTTAGGGCGCAGCTCGACTTGAATGGGGTGGCCCTCGCGGACGTTCCTGGGGCCCGTGCTGAGCGAGGTTCTCGTGCTGCCAGCACTTTCGCGGTCTTCAGCTCGGGTTCTGCCGAAGGTAACGAGGGGGTCGAGCTTTGGGTGTCTCTCCGTGACCCTTATGGCTCCCGTGATGGAGTGCTCCTCACGTTTGAGAAGCGGCACTTCGCGGTGGTTCCCGCCGACCCCCGCCGTCCCATCGTCGAGGTTAGCGCTCCGGCCTCTAGGTGCGCCCTCGCCGTGCTCCGTGCTCACCACAATGACTGTGTTTTGTGGACGCCAACGCCAGAGTTGGTTGCCGGCTGGTTGATGGTATCGGAGTTGGCGCCCAGGGCTTTCCCCAGGATTTGGACAAGGGAGTTTACCTCCTGATGGGCTACCTGGCCTGGTCTGGTTCTGATGCCCCCACCACGTTCTTTCCCAGCTGTGCTGATTGCTGCGCCTGGACTGCCCGCAGCGGCACCCCTCGCCGCTTAGATTACGTCCTGGCCGCTCCCAGGCTCACTCAGTGTGTCAAGGGTCATGGCGTTTGGCGTGACTGGGATTTTCTGGTTGAAGCCGAGGACCATTGGCTTGTTTTTGTTGACCTTTAATGGTCATCTTGGTTCGTTCCTGGCGTTGCCCCGAGTCTGGATCAACGTGCGATTTTGGGCCCTGTCGAGCAAGCTAAGTTTGTGGAGCTGCTGTTGGACATTCCTCTGATGCCCTCGGGGGCTGACGTCCACGCTCGCTATTCTCTCGTGGCCAGCCAAGTCAGGGATGCGGCCAGGATGGCTTTCCGCCCCCCCGGAGTTTCCCCCCGCGAGCCCTACGCTGGGCCGCGTACCATGGGCCTGATTTCCATCGGGCGCTGCGTCAGGGCTGCCATTCGCCCCCCTAGGGGGAGAGCTAGTTGCGCTGGGGACCCCCTTAGGGCCCTTGGTGATTTCGTTGCGCGTCATCCGCCCTTCTGGGATGACCTTGTCGCCATGGAATGGAATTTCCTTGAAGATCTGGTGTTCGCCTCCTCGTGTTTCCAGAATGAGGTGATGGAGAGGCCCGGCTTGCTTGTGGATCTCTATGCCTTCCTGATGAGTTCGGGATGAATGGTGCGTTTGTTTCTTGAGTTCGACCGCGCGGTTTTTCTTGAGAGCATGTCTGGGCAAGTTCAGGATGCGGTGGGATCGGGGGATGCCAGAGGCCAGTGGGCCCTCCTCCGGCGCCCTCTGGCCTTTGGAGGCCGTCCTGGTAAATGCCCCCCCCAAACATCTCCCGATCCGAAAGGGTCCCAGAGGCGAGGTTTTGGCCGCGCCCCGCGATGTTGTGGGCGTGCCGAGACGACTTTGTCAGCCGATTGTATGCTACAGGAGTATAGCGCCACACAGCCTTCTCTTGCTGCTCCCTCACCTGTCAGGTGCGCGGACAATGTTATGTCCCTCGGCCAAACGATTCGCAGTTTCAAGCGCGCGCGCTGGGAGGAAGCCTGCGGCTCCGATTTCGTTTCTGACAGCCTTCTGAGAGCTGCCCCAGGGGCGCGTGCAAGACTGGAGCGCCCGTTATATGTCACGATTGGCATCCTCGGCAGAGGGCCCTGGATTTCAAGGGTGGTTGGGCCCAAGAGCTTCTGAAAGGAATGGGTGATGCTGAGCATATTCAGCAGTGCAGACAGATCTTTCTCATGCACCTTGCCAAGCACCATCGTAAGTTTCTCAGGGGTTGTTTATACTCTGTCGTTGAACACAGGTTGTTGGGTACCCAGTGTGGAGGCTGCAAAGGTGGGGGGACGGACATGGCCCTCTATGCGACTCTGAGTTTCGTGGGCCTCGATCGCCACAGAGGAGTCGCTTCGATGCTGGCGTTCGGTGATCTTAAGTAAGCTTTCTTCATTGTTTTGCGGGAAGTCGTTCTCCCCGTTGGCTCGTCGGTTGAAGATCGAGCGGAAATCATTGACCAAGCAGAGATCCTTCTTTGTTCGGTCCCGATTCTGGATTTTTTTCATGGCCCACCCTACCTTGACCCCTGACTCCCCCCAGGACGCGCACCCTCTGGAATTTGTTTCTGAGGACCATGCCCGCGCTCGGTTTGGAGTGAAAGGCAGCGGCCGCACTGCCGGGGCCCGCGCTGGGTCGAGACCTGGGGGGGCCATGGCTGATTCAATTTTCAACCTCGTGTTCTGCCTTATTTTGAAGGACATCAGGGTGAAGTGGGGCCTTGCTGGTTTGCTTTAGAGGCTCCCCCCGCCACCTTCCCCGGCTCTGACATCGTGTAGCGACCCTGTCACGCCGCTGGTGGAGGAGTCGGCTGTCGTGGACGACCTCGCCCTCATGTGCGTGTGCAAAGACAATCGCCTCCTCGGAGACCAGCTGACCAGCCTGGTGACTATCCTCCACAACACCATGTTGAGCTATGGCATGAGCCTGAAGTATAGGAAAGGTAAGTCCGCCATCCTGCTCTCCATTGGCACTGTTCAGACCAAGCACAGGTGTTTTGTGGATCAGAATGGATCTCATACGGTTTCTTCCCTCGGAGTTCCCGTTGACCTCCCCGATGTTCACGAGTCCCCTGGAACCATGGCTCATCGTGACGGGCTCCTGCGCCCCGAGCTCACGCTTCGGAGATCCAAGCAGCAAGTGGCCCTGGGGCCGCTTCAGGCTTCGTTTTTTTGGTTCGTCCCAAGCTGGCGCTCGCTCGGAAAGCTCAGTGGACTGATACTTTGTGTACGTCTGCTCCTCTGCACACTGGGGCAATTTGGAGTGGGCTCTCGGCCCCTGATTTCTCGTCTGTGTCGACCGCCTATGTGGGGAGTTTCCGCGCTGCTATTGGGAGAGCCCGCGATGCGGGACCTGGGCGCAGGCCCATGAATGCCGAGATTCTGCTCGAGATTGGCCGCCCCGACCTCGCTGTCCTGCTCCGACTCAGACGTCTTAAGTATTTTGGTCGCTTGGCCGCTAGGGAATCTCCTCGGCCCAGGTATGTAGTCGATCACCTTCTTGAGGGAAGTGTCTCCTGGGCGCATCTGGTGAACAAACATATTTCGGTTGGGTTTGCCGTGATTCGCCCGCCGTGGAAAAGCACCCCCTTCTGTCGTGCTGGGCGGCCCTTGCCCGAGGTGCTCCGTCGGATTTCTCCCGTGCAATCTCCAGTGCGTTCAGTGCCCGCGGGCGTTGGGGCGCCGATCAACTCGGGCTCGCCGGGTGGAGAAGGGCGATGTTCAGTTTGTGCATCGACCACCATTCCCCCCCCCCCCCCCTCTTGCGTGGACCCCGCGCCCGATGATTGCTTCGCGCGCTGCGATTGCGGTCATGCGTCGGCCGCCGCTGGCGCGTGGAGGATGCGCCGTCTTCGGGCGCGCCCGTTGACCGACCTCGCCTTGAAGTATGTCGTTGGCACCTGCCGGAAACGCCGTTGCATTCAGCTCCATTCGAGGACCCGTCTTGTGAGGCACTTGAAGCATGGTAGACCGGTGTGTTTTCAAGCGTGGATTTCTTGTTTCCCGTTGGTGACTGAGGGCCAAAACATACAGGGGACCGCCGAGATCGCTGCCAACGCCAAGAGCACGGAGAAGCGGGGCCTGGGAGTTGAGAAAGCTACGATCCCCAAGTATAGCATCTATGGCCCTTCTACCCCCAAGGGCCCTCCAGGGATCCTGGAAGAGTTGGTCTCCCCAGCCCCCCCGCCCGCGCCTGTCCTCGTTGAGGCCCCCTTCCTCTTCGAAGCCGTGGGCGGCCCAAGGCGCGTCCGTGGCACTAAGTATGTTTTGCACTTGTTTAGCGGCCAGCGGCGATGGGGGTTGTGCAGCTTTATTTTGATGGGCTGGTGAACAAATCGCCTCGCCCCTTGGCCATGCTGTCTGTTGACACAAAATGATTGTGTGGCTGGAAATTGATGGACCCCCGAGCCCTTCAGACGTTTTCAGTCATGATTCATGAGGGATCCGCTGTGTGTGTGCTCGCTGCCCCCCCGGTGAAAATTGGAGTGCTGCGCGCAGGCTTGAGCTGCCCGAAGGCGGCTCGCGTATCATACGTTCCATGGCTCATTTGTGGGGGCTCCCTCAGGCCACTGCGCGTGAATGGGCTCAATTGGACCTCGACAGTGTCCTCTTGAGGACCTCTATGCTCCTCGTGTACGCCTGTTATGTGCACCCGCGCCGCCGTCGGATCCCGCCCTGCCCAGTTCCTGGCTTGTTTCGGAAACCTCTCATTGAGGGACCTTGCCCCGAAAAAGAAGCATGGTCGATTTCGTTTGGATCGACCAGTGCGCGTTTGACGCACCCAGTGTCAAGCCGATTGTTTACTTTGTTATCAATCAACCTCACGTTCGTTCTGCCCATGAGAGGGTTCGGGGGCAGAGGCCGTTGCACTCACCCGACACGGCTCCCGCACGACGCTGATTGGTCGTGACCCTTCAGGGGTATTCAGGACTGCGGCAGATAATACCCGCAACCGTTTTTTGTTTTTGCTGAATCTCTGTTCTGCCATGCTGATCATATTCTCTTCGATTCCCCGAATGACCAGAATGATTTTGCGATTGGTGCTGAGGATACTCTCGATCCCAGGCTGGCCAAGTTCCATTGCCCACTTGACCCGTTCTTTGAGGGGCACTCGTGGGGAGCGTTTGGCTCCGACTGCCGTCGCTAATCTTCTGACTGCTCGCTCGTTTGTCTTTCTTTAATTGGGTGCATACCTTCCCTGCACGCTTCGCGCGTTTTGTGGTAGTTTTCAGTTCCGTTCAGTGCAGGAGGAGGAGGACGAGGAGGAGGAGGAGGAGGAGGAGGAGGAGGAGGAGGAGGAGGGAGGAGGAGGAGGAGGAGGAGGAGGAGGAGGCGGAGGAGGAGGAGGAGGAGGAGGAGGAGGGGAGGAGGAGGAGGAGGAGGAGGAGGAGGAGGAGGAGAGAGGAGGAGGAGGAGGAGGAGGAGGAGAGGAGGAGGAGGAGGAGGAGGAGGAGGAGGAGGAGGAGGAGGAGGAGAGGAGGAGTGAGGAGGAGGAGGAGGAGGAGGAGGAGGAGGAGGAGGAGGAGGAGGAGGAGGAGGGAGGAGGAGGGCGTCGTTTCTCCCCCCACCCCCTCTCTTCCGCTCTCGCCGTTTTCCCCCCCGCCCCGCGCCTTTCCCCCGCACGGCTCAAGGGCCTCGCGCCCGCGGGGGGCGGGGGGGGGGGGGAAGCCACGAGGGGCCGCGCGCACCGCCGCCGCGCCGCTCCAATACGGGGCGCGCGCCGCCCGCCCCCTGCAAATGGTCCTCGGGTGGGGGAGGCGGCGTCGGGGAGGGGGAGGGGGGGGGGCGGCGAAGGGGTAAGTCGGGCCCGTCCCTCTACAGGAGGAATATTCGAAAATAGTCCCACCACGTAGTCAGGGGACTATCTTTTGCGTATTTTTGATCATTTGGGAGTATTTTTTGAATAGTTCTTATTCTTCGTCCGAAGATCCCCTTGTGAGGGGGACGCGCCCGACTTCAGCATAGGGGCGGGGGTTGGCGCGTCGCGAAAAACGACGAGCGAACAACACACACGGGCGTATAGGAGGGAGGGAGGCTGGCTGTGGGTATTTGGGTGCGGGTCGTCGGACCCCAGGAGGGGGGGGGCTCCCGTGTTCGAGCGGGGGCCCGCATCCCACGCGCACACGTAGCCCGCTCCGCCCCCCCCAAGGGCCTATGGGTATGGGTGCGTGCTGTTCGTGCGTCAGACAAGGCGAACCCGGCCGGAGAATCGGTTCTGGGGAACGTTTGGTGTGTGTGTGTGTGTGTGTGTGTGTGTGTGTGTGTGTGTGTGTGTGTGTCGAAAGGGGGGGGGCGGAGGGCGGAACCCCAGACCCCCTCGAGTGATGGACAAATCACGACGGGAGGGTTTTCAGTAGTTTCGGTCTCTGCGGGCCCTCACTGGGCCCCGGGACAACCAGTCATGAGGTCGGGGGTCTGGGAACAGGGATGGCAGGAGATGCGGTGGGGCGCGGCGCTACGGATTCAAAGCAAAGACCCAAACAGGATGGTTAGGACAACTATTACTCAGCATGAACTCCTGTCCCAGGGAAAGGGGGTCGAGATCTCTAGGGTTCCATGCCACAAAAAACACTACGCGACAGTTCTGGGTAGGCACCACGTTGGTTGGTCGGCCAAGGAGCCAAAGAGCCTCGCGAAGGAGTTCTCGGTGCACAGACGCTCTATCATCCCTCAGCGCGAGATGCTGGGGCGTCAGTGCACCAAGCTCCTTTGCCGACCAAACGACGTGGCGCATACATCTAGCCCCTCCGAGGGGGGGGGAGCAGGGGACGGGCCCTGGACCTCCACCTACCGCACCTTCCGCGCGGAAGGCGACGCCGCGATGCGGGAGCGGCAGCCGTGGCAGCGCGGCACTTGCCGCGCGGAAGGTGCGGTAGGGGCACAACAAAGCACCACAACCAGAAGTGAGTGGATCTTTCTGGAGGGCCCCTCGGGGGAGAACCCACCGACCCCGACGTGAACACCCTGGTTGTGGTTGCGGCCGATCTGGCCGTCGTGGACGCCCGCACCGACCAGAACCAGCACCACGCTGGCCGTCGGCGTTGTGGCGATTGTTTCGGCGTTGTGTCGACTACACGCCAGAGTGACCCTTCGCCGGAGTGACCTTTGGTGCGGGCCCAATGGGGTCCCCCGATCGCCCGGCGTGATGCGACAGCGGCGCCTTGCGCGCCCCTTCGTCTGGCCGCCCCGCGGCCCCCAGCGAGCCGCGCGCCACAGGGCCCTCTCGTTGCCCGGGGCAGCTCGTGGCGTGCCGCCGAGGGTGGTCGCTCCGCCTCCTCCTCCTCCTCCTCCTCCTCCACCCCCTCCTCCTCCTCCTCCCTCCTCCTCCTCCCTCCTCCTCCTCCTCCTCCTCCTCCTCCTCCTCCTCCTCCTCCTCCTCCTCCTCCTCCTCCTCCTCCTCCTCCTCCTCCTCCTCCTCCTCCTCCTCCTCCTCTTGTCCCCGCAGGGCCGAGAGGGGGGGGGGGGCGCAGGGCCGACCTCTCCCTCGACTCGGCGGCGCGCCGGAGTTAGGGGGGGCCCTCGCCTCCTCGGAGGGCGGGCGGGGCTCTCCGCGGAGGCCCCCGCCCGCCCTCCCACATGGAGGCCCTCTGCGGCTCCCGGGAGGGGGGGCCGGCCGGGCTTCTCTCTCCGAGCCTCGAGACGGGGGTCAGTACAAACGGGGGTCAGCCAGGACGCCGGATCCTGCAGGATCCTGCGAAGACCCCCTCTGGCTGACCCGGGTTAGCGAGCCGCTCGTGGCCGCAGGGCGGCCGCGCGTATTGGCTGACCCGGGTTTGCGCAGATCTGCGTTGCAGTTTTTTTGTTCCTGCATTGCAGTTTTTGGTTTCCTGCTGACCCGGGTCTGGATTGACCCGGGTCAGAGGATCCCCGAAGGGAACCTGTGCACGACCACCGCCTGGAGGGTCGATTTTCGGAGCCTCGGCAGGCGGTGGATGTGGACACCTTCGGGCCCCCAGGGGCCGAAGTGTATGCATACCCGCCGCCCGCTGGGGCACCAGGAGGGCGGTTCCCAGGCGGTGGATATGGATAAAATCCCCGCCTGGCACTCTCGCATTGCAAAGAGGTTTTTGTGTTTCTCCGCCGGCCTTTTTTTTGGGTGTGTTTCTATATTACTATGTTTTTCTTGTTTTTGGTTTTATTTTTATATATATATATATAAACATATATATATATATATGTATATAGTGTTGTGTTGTGTTGTGTTTTTCTTATATATAGATATGTGTGTATATTTATGTATTATGTATCTATATATATATATATATATATATATTCGCGGACCTCGTCTGCCCACTCCGTGCTCTGCCTTCGCTGCGTCCCCCCGTGGCCCTGTGCTGCCGCTTGGACCTCGGACGGACGTGGGCCCCCAGAGGTCTCGGCCTCGGCCCCAGGACCCATGCTTCGTTCCGTGCGGGCTCGGCCTTCGGACGGCCCAACGGGCCTCGCGAGGGCCCCGGGAGCCCAAGCCGTCAGCGTCGCGGTGCTTTTGTTGCAGCGAGGAGGGATTACCAGCCTCCAACGTATCCCTATTCCTAAGATTGACACGCCAAACGGCGATGACAATCTCAGGTATTCGCCCTCATAACCTAAGGGAATCCCTAAGATTGGCATCGTGATGAGGAGATGCCCAGCTTAGGGATAGGGATATGTTCCAGGCTGGTAACCCGCGCTCAGCAGCCCGCCAGCGCCGAGTCGGGGGGTCCGTCCCTACCTGGACGCACCTGCAGGCCTCCCCCTGTGGGGTCCGAGTTGCTTGTGTGTGGCCGTGGCAGGTGGTTTGCGCAAGAAGATCGGACCCTGTTGCTCACCCACAACTCTGCCCATACGTGGTGAGCCACGCGACCCGGCGTGATCCGTCTTCACGTGTGGACTGCGACTGTAAGGCAAGGGCGCATGCACGAGTATTAGTTCGTAACCGCCTCCGCTGGCTTACACCTAGGACCCCTCCTTTTGCTCTGCACCGATTCCGCGCTTTTTCAGCCCACGGAGACCTGCGGGTGAACCTGTAGACGTTTACGCGGACACCCGATACTTATGAATAGTTGGGATGCTACGGATAACTATCAGGAGCTCCCTGCATGGAGTCAAAGGACACCATCGGGACACCGGGAAACTCAAAACTGGGACACCGCACTCGATCGCTCGCCAGTGCCGAATCCTTGACGTTGCCTCTGACGAACTCCCCAGCTTATTCGCACGCCACTACGGCCCAGCGCTAGTATGAACACGACGGGCACCTTCTGAAGCCGCCGACCATACTACCACTCCAGCATCACGTCACGCGCGCGACTCCATGCGCACGCTGCGCCACGCACGTCGCGATCACTAGCCTCGAAACTCAGTTTCTCACTCGGGGGCCCTCGGATCGCAGGCGACTGCTCACCGAATCCCCAGGTTCTGCCTGAAGATCTTGGCCACTCAGGGAAAGTCGGGGGCGGAAAAGAGGGGGGTGATGACTAGGGGGGGGTGAATATCATGGCGGGGGCCATGACTTCTCCCCAGATTTCATGGCGCCTCTTCGTATTTCCTTACGTCCCTGGCCTCCCCGCTGGGCCGCGCACGTGCCGCCGGTCATGCTTTGCACCCCCCCCTCTTGGACACCCCCCTCTTGGCCGCTCCCGAGAAAGGGGGAACCCTCGAATACATCCCCAAAGGAGTTCTTCGGACGCACCCAGGGCCCCACTGTCGAGGCTGGGCGCCCCCCTATCGTATATCCCAGGGTTGGGCTCCAACTTTGTGGTCCGGAACGGCCCCGACATCCTCTTGACGTTGCAGGTACGGCGTGGCACCTCCGCAGGCGTAGTTTTCCAAGAAGTGGCCAAAGTATTAGGCGTGCCATTGTGGATGACCCGCACGTGCATGAGCTTCCATTTGGCACTCTTAGATAAGGGGTACTTCTTCACCCCCAATATGGTGGTGACAGAGCCGCTCCGCCTCGGAGTGCAGGCAGCTCGGACTGGTGGCTGATACAGCAGAATGCCGCGCTCGAAGACCCCACGAAGCCTGTTACCAGGGGCTGCACAACGCCAGTCTTCCAGTGCGAGAGTTTTTGGTCCGCGCGCGGCACGAGAGGACCGAGGTTGAGACAGAAGGAAGCGAGCACTGTGCACGAAGAGAGCGGGGGAAAGGAGGAGGGCGGCCGCGGAGACGGGACTGCGGGCAGCGCTCAGAACGCGCATGCTAGCGTGAAAATCGCCGCCTGCGGAGGGCTCGTTGTATAATTTGTGAGATTTAGGCGCTTGCGGCGGACTTGTTCAAAGCCTCGCAGGCTGCCGACGTCTCGCCGCCCCCTCACTTTTACCCCGCACATGCGGGGTGCTATCGATTCCTTCACGCAGGTATGGTGGCTCCAGGGGTACCTGCAAAACTGATGCTTCTGTCGCGAACGGTCAGGGAGACGGCTCAGGCCGCGAATGTTCCAACGTACACACGGGGGCACATTTGACATGTTGACGCACGCTCTCGCAAGCGCGTTTTTTGTTGTTATTTAACCGCCGAGACGCTGCGAGCAGCTGGCTGTGCGCAGGTACGGGCCACTCGTATCGAATTGCATACATGCATGTGACGAGCGCGCTCCAACAGCTTGCATGCACAAGCGCACATGCATGCACACATACAGCAGGCATACATACAGATTCGCATGTGCGCTTCAGCGAATCCTAGCTCCTGGAACCGATGCTGGCACCTGAGTCTTGCCCTGACTCAGCCTGTGGCAGGAATGCCTCGTTCTGGCAGGGCCCCAGGGTTTCTCAGAAGCCCTCGCGCCTTCTGAAAGCTCTTCGTGCCCTCAGGGAAGGGTCAGAAAGCTTCTGAGAAGGGGCCCAGGGCTTCCCGAGCCGTCTGAGCAGGCCCGCCCCCCGCTCGGACGCCTGGCTGCTTTGTCGGTCCCAGCCTGGCTCCCCGGTGGCCGTGCGAGACGAGCCCGGCACCTCGCAGGCGCCCTCGGCGAGGCGCAGCTGCCGGAGCGCACGGCCGAGGCCTGGGCGCGCCGCCGAGCCGCGCGCCGCGCGCGCGGCCGCGGCCCAGACGCTGGCCGCACCTGGTTGTCCTGTCGCTCCCGGCTCGGCTCCATCGGCGGCCGTGCAAGGCGAGCCGGGCACCCTCGCGAGCGCCCTCGGCGAGGCGCAGCTCGGAGGAGGAGGAGGGGGAAGAGGAGGGGGAGGAGGAGGAGGAGGAGGAGGGAGGAGGAGGAGGAGGAGGAGGAGGAGGAGGAGGAGGAGGAGGAAGGAAGGAGGAGGGGAGGCAGGAGGAGGAGGAGGCAGGAGGAGGAGGAGGAGGAGGAGGAGGAGGAGAGGAGGAGGAGGAGGAGGAGGAGCGAGGAGGAGGAGGGGAGGAGGAGGAGGAGGAGGAGGAGGAGGAGGAGAGGAGGAGGAGGAGGAGGAGGAGGAGGAGGATGAGGAGGAGGAGGGGAGGAGGAGGAGGAGGAGGAGGAGGAGGAGGAGGAGGAGGGGACGGAGGAGGAGGAGGAGGAGGAGGAGGAGGAGGAGGAGGAGGAGGAGGAGGAGGAGGAGGAGGAGAGAGGAGGAGGAGGAGGAGGAGGAGGAGGAGGTAGGAGGAGTAGAGGAGGAGGAGGAGGAGGAGGAGGAGGAGAGGAGGAGGAGGAGGAGAGGAGGAGGAGGAGGGGGAGGAGGAGGAGGAGGAGGAAGGAGGAGGAGGAGGGGGAGGAGGAGGAGGAGGAGGAGGAGGAGGATGAGGAGGAGGAGGAGGAGAGGAGGAGAGGAGGAGGAGGAGGATGGAGGGGGAGGAGGGAGGGAGGAGGAGGAGGAGGAGAGGAGGAGGGAGGAGGAGGGAGGAGGGAGGGAGGAGGAGGAAGGAGGAGGAGGAGGAGGAGGAGGGGGAGGAGGAGGAGAGGAGGAGGCGGAGGAGGAGGGAGAGGAGGAGGAGGAGGAGGAGGAGGAGGCCCTTGCCCGCGGCGGGCCGCGCGCGCGGCCGCGGCCGGGCGCCGGCCGCGCCTCGGGGGGGATGCCCGCCGGGCGGCGGCCGCGCCGCCGGGCGGGGGGGGGCAGGCCGCGGAGCCCGAGGACGCGCCCGAGCAGCAGGCGCAGCGGCTGCGGGACGAGGTCGAGGACGCCCCCGCGCCAGGTCCCTCACTCCCCCTCCTCATCTCCTTCCTCCTCCTCCTCTCTCCTCCTCCTCTCTCCTCCCTTTTCCTCCCCTTCCTCCACCCGCACTCCCCCTTCCTCTTCCTTCCCCCTGTTCTTCCTCTTCCTCCTCCTCTCCTCCTCCTTTCCTCCTCCTCCTCCTCCTCCTCCTCCTCCTCCCCCTGTTCTTCCTCCTCCGAGCCAGATCCCCCCGAAGCACAGGGGGCCAGCGGCTCCAGCGCGAGAGCCCGACGGCTGGGAGCTCCGTGGCGGAGCCAGCCCGCGGCGCATTCGCACGCCGCGCACTCGACTTTTTCTCCCCGCGGACGACGCGAGCGGCACTCCTGCCCATCGGCCAAGATCAAGGGAGGAAAAGCCACCCGGACAGGACAATTGGTGTTTACTACACGGCTCTGGGCGTTTACTACGCAGCCCTGCCCGGTTTGCTTCCTTCTCTGGGTGCGTTTACTAAGCTCGACAAGACGTAAGAGTGACCTTTCGCCGGAGTGACCTTTGGTGCGGGCCAAATGGGGTCCCCCGATCGCCGAACGCGAGGCGACAGTGGCGTCTTGCGTGCTTGTGTTTGGCCCCCCCGCGGCCCCCCCCAAAGCCGAGTACCAAAGGTCACTCTTACCCAGGGTCACTCTTGCGTGTAGCCGATAAACGGCTGCGCGTGTCGGGGCGGTTCTTATCGGGGTGGATTGTCTGCCCTCTACAAAAAGCCAGCGACACCACCTCGCCTGCGGCCCTCCATGTTGCGCCAAGGCCAATCCGGGGCCGCAGCGTGCAGCGTACACCACGCGCAAGCCCACGCCAGAGCTCATGGTGTACGCTGAGCCCCGTGGGGCCGTAGGTGGGGTGGTGTCGTTTGTCTTCTGGTCCAGCCCACCAAACCACCCCAACCCAACCCGAAGGCCCCAAGTTGCCCTCCGTTCCCAGTGTGGGGGGGCATCCTGGAACATGGAAGAAACACAGATGAAACCACTTACGCCCCCAAACCCGAAATTTGGGACTTCGGGTTGGGTTTGGTTGGTCTGGTAGGTAGCCAGACGCGCGGGGAGGGGGGCCAGCTGCACACGGGGGTCTGAGGTGGCCCAGCACTGGTTCCGGCGAGCAGGAAGGGCGGTGGAGAATCGAGGTTCGGTGTTCGGGAAGGTTTTGTTGCTTTTCTCTGCCTTCGGGGGCCGTTTTCGGGTCCTGGGACCATCAAGTGGGAAACGGATCCGGGGGGAAAAATTGCACCCGATGGCCAGTTCAGTCCCCCAGGCCGCCTCCAAACGGTGTGATAACCACACCGACCGGTAAGACAGTGGGGACCGGTGTGCCCAGATCGTCCCGAAAGATGTGGGTTCATCCGAAAAACGCCCTGGGCGTAACTTAGCGTTTTCTTGTTCGGGCTCTCGACAGGCAGAAAAAGCTGTAAGGACGTTCACTCGTTTGATATATTCTTCCGCATCTATTGGTTAGCGCTTGCTGCTTTGTCGTAACATCCAGACGGGGCGGGGGCCGAAACTGGTATCCGCCCGCAGAGCTGAACACGGAGATAAAGAGACAGGCCCTGACACCAGTCCGACACTCGTGCGAAACCGGCCCAGAAGCCCACGGCCCGTCCGCGGCGGGCTCCGAGGATGGAAAACCACAGATTGGAACAAGCTAAAATACACAGCGTTTTTTTTGTTTCTTTTGTTTTTTTTAATCTTTTTTTGTTCCTGGCGCTCGGTGCTCTTGTTGAGATCTGAAAGCGCCCCCAAAAAGGGATTTGGCGGTGTGGCGGCCATGCCGCGCGGTGGGTCAGTTTGGGATGCGGTGGGGGAACCGCGCGGTGAGGTCTCGCGGGAGTCCGGGGCCACCGCGCGGCCTGTTGCCGCGTATTGGGGCCCCCCTCGGGGGGGTGCGCGGCCTGCGCCCTCCACTGGCCGGTGTACAGTCGGGGCCCTGGAGAAGGAACCCTTTTCGTTGGGGAGGGGCTCGGTGTTCCTTGATTGTTTCACAGCCTGCCTTAGGTTTTTCCTTAGGTTTTCGATATGGAATCGAAGCTTAACTGATGGAAAATAGGGGCCTCGTTCCTTATTTCGGGTTCCTTCGGTCAGCGCCCGGACTGTACCCCCCCGGGATGGTGAGGCAGGCTGTTCCCTTCGGGCTTCGAGGCGCACATCCCCCGCTGGGGCGGTGGGGATGGTGTACCCCCCCACAGTAGATGGGGAGGCAGGCTGTTCCCTTCGGGCTTCGAGGGGCACATTCCCAGCTGGGGCGGTGGGACGGTGCACCCCCCTGGATGGGGAGGCAGGCTATTCCCTTCGGGCTTCGAGGGGCAGATCCCCCGCGGGGGCGGCGGGATGGTGGGGTGTCGGGATGGGGATGGGGAGGGGCATCGGCGAAACGCCACTGAGCTGAGGCCTCGAAGTGCGGGGCTCGCGAGGGGCGGCTCGTCGCCCGGCGCGGGCGGTGCCCAGCGGTGCGCGCCCGGGTCGGGAGGCAGCTCCTGGAAGGTCATCGTAAGAGCGAGGCTGAGGGCCATGGAGCCCCATGGCGGGGCCATCCATCCAGATTCGCCCAGACGACGGTGAGGGCATCGGATGAGGAACCATTGGGTATGGAGGCCGGCGTCTGGAAGCCCGTGGAGCTCCAATCGTGGATTGGCCCTGGGTGTCACCGCCGCCCGTGTCAAACAGGGGATCCTCCAGGGCCTGGAGCCTCCTGGGCACATTCCTTAACGAACTTCACCTCCGAGGTGGGAATTTATCCATATCCACCGCCTGGAGGGTCAGTTTTCGGAGCCTCGGCAGGCGGTGGAAATGGACATCTTCGGGCCCCCCGGGGGCCGAACTATACTACCCATATCCGCCGCCCGATGGGGCGCCAGGACGTCGGTTCCCAGGCGGTGGACACGGATAAATCCCAGCCTCGCATCACCACCGTGCTCCCCCACCGTACCCAGCTGAATCGTAAGGGGCCGTTCAAGGCCGGAGTCGCCCAGGCTGGCGCACCGGCAGGGTCGGCGGCGAGTCCTGGGGGGGGGGGGGGATCAGGTGAGAAGGGGCGGGCCTCCTCGGAAGGCTCGGAGGCCCCCCGGCCTTCCTCCTCCTCCTCCTCCTCCTCCTCCTCCTCCTCCTCCTCCTCCTCCTCCTCCTCCGCGTCCCCCCCCTCTCGCTCGCCGCCGAGGGCTCGCGGGGGCCCCTCGCGTGCAGGGCTCTGCGCGGCGCCCCCGCGTCGTGTCGGAGGGGGGAGGAGCGGCGCCACCACCGCCAGGGGGGCCACCTCCATCCTCTTCCTCCTCCCTCCTCCTCCTCCCTCCTCCTCCTCCTCCTCCTCCCCTCCTCTCCTCCTCCTCCTCCTCCTCCTCCTCCTCCTCCTCCTCCTCCTCCTCCTCCTCCTCCTCCCCCTCCAGCGAGGAGGTCCGCGATGCCTCCCCGAGCGGGAGGCCGGGGGTGTCTCGAGCGAGAGGTGGGACCACGCCACGCAGGGGGACCGCCCCGTTGGCGCTGGGTACCGCCCTTCCCTGCCCAGGCGCGGCGGAGGAACAAAAATCCTCCTCCTCCTCCTCCAGGAGGCCCCCGAGAGGAGCCGCGAGAGGGCCCAGGAGTCGGAGGAGGAAGAGGCGCCCGTACCGCTATGCCCTTCCCTCGTTCTCTTTGGGGGCTCCCGAGGGGGGGGGTCCTCGTCGCCACCGCTGGGTTCGCCTCGAGGTATTGGTCAGAGCGCACCCTTGGAGAGGTCCAGGGAGTAGCAGTATGGGTACCTTTGAGTCTCCCCCCAAGAGAGGGCCCACGAGGGCCCATGAGGGCCCCAAGGGAGGACCCAAGAGGGCCCGCCGAGGCCCCCGAGAGGGCCCCGAGAGGCCCCGAGAGGCATCCACGACTGGGGAAGCGAAGGGGCCCTCGGAGTCCCTCCCCCCGACATGGCCATATGAGCCCCCAAGTTTCCTCCAGGAGGCCCCAAGGGGTCCCCAAGAGGCTGCACGGACGTCTTGTGGAGCGGATCGTGGGTCAGCTTCCACTTAGAGCAAGACTTCTTTCAGAACTTGAAGTGTGTCTTGTGGCTCTGTCACCGACCTAGTCGCTATATCCAGAACTCCAGATCTCCTCCTCCTCCTCCTCCTCCTCCTCCTCCTCCTCCTCTGATGCGGTGTGAAAATGTGGACCAGATGGACCCCAGGAAGGGTCCAGGGACCGACTTTGAGCGAATTTGCGGAACGGATCGTGGGCCAGTTTCCGGCTCCCTAGACTATTGGTGAGGCCTGCTGAGGCCAGCGGGGCCTACCTGGGGGGGGCTGTCCGTGCGCAGTCCGAAGCCTTACCATTCCCTAGTATTTCTGTGGGGAGAATCCTACCATTCCAGGGGCCCTCACCAGGCCCTGGGGCCGTCAAAAAGCGGCTCGGGATGAGAATCCCAGTGAGAGGTTCAGATCTCCGGGGGTCCGAGGTGCGAACAAAAGGATAGGACATTATAGTATGAGGTCCTGTCACGAGCCGCCCCAACCCTTTTTTGATCCGAGAGGAGCTGGTACGGCGAGCACGGCTGCTTCTCCACGGCGAGCACCCGCCAGAGCCGCCGAAGGACCTGGGTGTCTCACAAGTGTTGTTGGGCGCGGCTAATGCATGCATTGACCTGCCAGGGTACGGCAGGTTCGCGCCGCGTTGGCGCAGCGGCGACCTTAGCACGGGCATTCAAGGTTGAACGCCGCCAGTGGGCCGGAACCGGCCGACATCGAACGATGTGCGCTATCGGGAGGCCGCGATCGTCCAAGGTTGCACGATCCACGCGGTGTTAGGAACCAACGCCCGTGTCGTCGCCGCACGAATTTACCGTAGATGTGCGAGGTAGGGTTGTGTCGTGGCGACGCGTCGGCGACCCTCGCGCTGGCGTTCGAGGTAAAGCGCCGCCCGTGGCCCAGAATCGGCCGATGTCGAACGATCCACGCCATCCGAAAGCCGCGATCGTTCAAGGTCGACGGATCCGCGTGTTGTCAGAAAGCAGCGCGCAAGTCGTTACGACAAGAACCTGCCGTGGACGAGCTTGCATTACCGAGCCATGAACTTCCAACCCTGGGTTTCTTACGACTGTGTTTTTCTACCTTACGCCCTGCCTGGCGATATTCTAGCTAGTACCCCTTCGTACAATATGTACACATGGCTTTGCACATGATCCATCCTCCATGCGCCACACATCCGGCAGGGAGGGATCGGAGATCCTCTGGACGGTCTCGCCACTTACGCAGATGAAGGCTTAGCGCATGTAGCAATGCGTCGTAGCATAGACCCAGGCCCGATCTTGCCAAGTTGACAAGAACTGTGGCGCAAGGGCGACGTGCGAGCGAGCAGCACTCATTGTTCACCTACTTGTGTATGAGTAGCGTTGTGCAGAACGCGGGCCCACCTGCCAACAGGCTTGCGTTCCGGTGCCAGCAATCCATTCGATGGTGCTCAGCGCAAGAACTTGTGACGGTTGTTACTGGCTTCTTATTGGCCAACTCAGAGATTCAGCTGCCTGCGGCACACCCCGCCACCGTGCCTGTGCAACAGTGCAGCAAGAATGAGGCTGAGTGTAGGAACACCGCAATTCCGACCAGTGGTTAGAGGTGGGACGCGTCGTGAAGTCGACCCCGTCTTCGTCCGAGCGGTAGGAAGGTTGTCGAGTTCACGCCTTTGAAGGATGTTGGCTTCTCGGGGAGGTCCTGGGGGCTCTCCGAGGGCGCTTAGAGTCGTGCTGTGGCCCTCTTAGGGCCTCTTGGAGGCATGATGCAGGCCATCTTGATCAACCTTGCGCTGTCTTGAAGCATCTCGGGGCCATCTTGGAGCATCGGAGGCCCTATTGGAGCCATCTTGGCCGACAACAGGCCCTCTAACGACCCGCGAGCCCCTCCCCAAACCCCCTGGGAACGGGGAATATGAGGGTGCCCCTGCCCGAAGAGAAGATGGGTTTCTTGTGCAAGAGGAAAGACATATATCCTAGACCACCTACGCCCAGAGGGCTGGCGGGATTGGGAGGGTCGTGGTCTCGGCCTCGTTTTCGTCAGTGCAATAGGGAGGACGGGGAGGAGGAGGAGGAGGACGAGGAGGAGGAGGAGGAGGAGGAGGAGGACGAGGAGGAGGAGGAGGAGGAGGAGGAGGAGGAGGAGGAGGAATAGGAGGAGAAGGACGAGGAGTAGGAGGAGGAGGAGGAGGAGGACGAGGAGGACGAGCAGGAGGAGCAGGCCGAATGCATGACTCAATAACTCGCGGAGTCCTGCCGCCACCTCTTTTTTTATATTGCCACACAGCTCGCTGTCTCAGGCTCACACTCAGAGAGCAGGACCCCGAGTCGGGCTGCTTCTGCACCCCCCCCAGGCATCGCTGGGCAGCCAGCGCACTCCGCTCAAGAGCGGCACGGGGCAGCGTCCTGCAGCCCCAGGGGTACGGGCACGCAGCCCGTGGGGTGCGGGCTCCAAGGGCACGGGGACCCCCTCACCCAAGTAGCCCACTCCCCGCCCCCCGACCCGTCCCCTTTGCCTTTGGAGCCTTTCTGAGCTCTGAGGGCGTATATTTTCGGAGTGATTGGAGGCGGATCTGGAGGAGGTGCCGCGGCATATGGGCTCAGGGCGGGCCGATCAAGCACCGTTGGCGAGATGGTGCCACGGGCCACGGGCTCATGACACCGTTCGCTCCCTGAAGCAGCTCCCGAGGTCCTCGAACGGGAGGAGACACGAGCGAGTGGCCCCCCAGTGGACCTGCCGGCTTGGCTCGCCGGGCTCCTCAGTGATGTCTACACCTTAGGCGATGCTTAAGAAAACCTAAGTTTTCGTCCAGAGTTTCGATTGTTCTTAATTTTTCAATATAAATCCCAAGATTTTGATAGAAGTTCAGGGTTTTATTCCATTTCTGAGACTATGAATTTCTTAACCCATGATTTCTTAAGCATTTCGCAGGGTGTAATGCCGTGTGACTGCTGTGGCTGCTGCTGCCTGGCTGCTGGCAGCTGCTGGTGCCCACACCTACTCCTCGGGGCCGACCTCCTCCTCCAGATCCCTCTCGGGTGGCCCGCGGGGGGCCGCGCCCGCCAGGACGAGCCCCCCCCCCTCGGGCTCCGCCAGCCGCTCCGGCCGCCTCGAGAGGGCGAGGCCGGGGTTCGTGTCGCGGTGGAAGTGGCACGAGCTGCTCGTTCTGGGCCTTTCGCCCTGCTCCGCCCTCAGAACCTGCACCCTCTCGTACGGGATCACCCTGCCAAGCCTCTGCGCCGTGATCCCCCTCGCGAAGATCTCGTCGGTGCAGAACTCTTTCACCTCGTCGCGCAGCTTGATGTCCAACCGCTTGGCGCAGCCGTCTGGGAACTGTTTGCCAGCGCCGTACAGGATGGACGCCATCGTTTTGTGGTCGACGTGCTGGCCATCTTTCTCGAGCTTCTTCGTCTCGGCGCTCTGGTGGTCGTAGTTGACGCCTGCCTTCTTTCCCGCTGCTGCCAGGCCAACCGTGGCATCGGGCATCTCGTACCTGAGGTACAGGGCGCCCTTGAGATCCGCGACCTCTCGAGCCAGAGACTGGGTCAGGCTGTCGTTCGTCTTCGACGCGTGGCCGGCTGATCCTATGCCTCCTCCTTTCTCTTCGGGCGTCCGCCACCTCCGTCGTCTGGGCGCTTCTGGCCTGTGCTCGTCGGGAGGCTGAACCACGATGGAATCGCTACGGCACCTTGGCTCGGCTCGCCATCTGGCATGGTCTACGTGTGGGAGCGGCCGAAACGGACGGTGAGTGCACAAGTGTTCACAGAACTCGTCGAAGCTCGAGCCGTCGAACTCGCAGACGGGGCAGGCGAAGGAGGGCACGGGGATAATCTCTTTCAGGGAGGAGGGGCCCACTGTTTGGCAATGCCCACGAAGCATAGAGCACATACCATGTGTTGCTGCGTTTGCCTTGCATGCGAATACTTGTCTGCCGTGCACGCATGCATTGGTAGGTGTATTGATATGGCATGCATTGCGAAGCCCATGGATGCCCCTGAGGTGGTTCATGAGATCCCTTCGGGTACAGAACGATGCCTCACAAGACTCTCCTTGGTTACCCTCGGAGGGGATCCAACATTTCCTCGGGTTTTGAGCATCGTGCAGCGTCTCTTCCAGATCGCGGGGCACAGGTGGCACCGACACAAAATCGGGGGGCGGGATCGCCACAGCGTACTGCCTCGATCTGGCCTGCACTATGCACGGATCCCCCATGAGCCCTCTTTGCTGCGGTTGTAGCGTAATCCTCCCACCCTCCCCAGCAGGCAGAGCGACAACCGATTCTCGATATCTGAGGCAACAAACTGCCTGATCTTCAGGCGTAGCACATTCGGCAGGGGCTGCGTCCATCTTCCCCCACGAGCTCCTGGCGAACGCATCACCCAAATCTTTAAACCACATACAAAAGAGCCGTCGAGCTCGCCGACGTCGGTGTGATACTGTGTTGGAGACTCATATGTCTGTCTCTCGTCTTAGGCCGCGAACGAACCCGTAGTCAGACTGTCGTGGCGAGTAGTTGATTTCTCTCGCGAAATAGGCTTTGCCTGGGACAGGAAGGATATGAACAGCTCGTCTGCCGAGAGGTCCCCGTCGATGGCTCTTGTGCAGTGGGGCCCCGAGGCTACGGTTCCAGTATTTGGGAGTGGCCTGGTGGGATCTGATCTTCTGGAGTCCCCTGTTCATCAACCACCCAACCGCTCTATTGTCTGGGGCCTGGGTGGGGGCTCCGGGAGCTTCTGCTTTATTTCGTCGCCGGTTCGGGTAGAACACCACGTGCCACAGCTCGAGCGGGGCACAACACATTGGGACAGCTCGTCGCTTGGGAGCCGATCGAATGTATCTGCGCATCTGGGGGAGGTCCCCCTTGACGAGCTCTACGATTTCCTCATCCTCCAAGAACGGGTAATCGTCATCATGCTCCTCCCTCCACGTGCCCCAATCGATCCCCCTGCAGCTCATGCCCCCATCCTTGCACTCCCTCTTCCACACCTCGTTCCATGCTGAAGCAGAAGGTAAACTGGCACATGCTAGGCGTCCGTCTTTGTGTTTCGGGCCATGTCTGCATGAAGCGGCTCGGCGGGCAGTAGACATAGTTTCAGCAATTCTGTGATGCTTCCAATGCTCTCTCTGAACACTCCTCCACTAAACGTGCCCTCCTCCTCATCCTCCTTCTGGCTTGCCTTCTCAACTTATAAGTTCGAGTGGCTATCTCGCGGAGTTGCTGCTCAATCTCGTCTATCGCACTCGGCGCGTAATCGAGCTTCTGGCTGCGAATCTCAGTCCGTTCTTTGAGAAGCCGTCGCCGCCAAACACTGTACATCTGGTACTCTGGGTCAGTCTTGTTCACCAGCATTGCGCAGGGCGAGCTCGATGGTTTCGAACATCTTATCACGTGAGGCGTGGTCGCGCAACCAATGTGCCTGAATCTGCTGGAGTTCAAGGCGAAAAGCTTCTAACCAATCCAGGCGACGGGGGCCGTGCCTAAGTGAACGCATCATGGCCTCCTTGTCCCAGACTATGTTCTTCTCCTCCCCCTCCTCCTCCTCCTCCTCCTGATATTGGTCGCTGTTGTTATAGGATATGATTAATGCTACTGGTAGGTGATCCTTTGGCGGTGGCCCACGCACTGGCTGGTGTTTGGCCCCCCAAGCGCCTCAGGAGGAAGCAATATCGAATGCTGTGTTTCATACCCAGCGGGCAGCACACGCAGTCGGTCCTCGAGTTCGACTTATTCCCGAAGCACGTGGAGGCGGCCTTGGCCCCTGGTGTTTTGGCGGCCCAAGCAAGGATGGTGCTCCAAGCGTTATCGAACATGCTGGCCAGCTCCAGTTGGCGCGATTAGCCGAATCTATAGAATCCGAAGCACGCTCAGTCCAGGATCCGTTCCGATGCACGAGCCCCATCCCGTCGTTCAAATCGGTGTATACTAATGGAGTATAACGTACTGGTAAAGTGGCAAGGATGCTATTCAACCAAGAGGTCACCAGTTGAGCAGTTCTGAAGTAGGTCCCTCGCTGCTGCTGCTGCGTCGGTTGGGGAGGGATGTAGGCGCTCACGACGCATATGTCCAAGGTCGCCTTATGAATTCTCACTGCAACTCCCCGTCCCTGAGCCTCTAGTGGACTACTCCAAATTCGTAATGCATGCTTTTCCGTCACCCGATGTGGAAGCACGACGGCCACCCCGCACGAGCGGTTCGAGCACGGAGCCTTGCCGCAGGGTGTGGCTCGAATCTTGGCCGCCCCATGTTGGTGCGCTCGAGCGTGCTCTCGCCCGAGCTCGCCGTGCTCTGGGTGCCCGCCAGGGCGACGGTGCCAAAGTTCCCCGCCTCCCCCAAGATCTCTTCCATTCTCAAGAATCATGAGCCTGTTTTCCACCACCACCACCATAAGTTGGAGGGGGAAGGAGGACGATGGGGAGGGCGAGGAGGAGGTGGACGAGGAGGAGGAGGAGGAGGAGGAGGAGGAGGAGGAGGAGAGGAGGAGGAGGAGGAGGGAGGAGGAGGAGGAGGAGGAGGAGGAGGATCCCCCCCTCCAACTTATGGTGGTGGTGGTGGTGGAAGACACGCCCATCAAAGAAGCCCGCCGACACGGGATCGTGCCCGAGCAACCACAACAAGAGGCCCCCACGACGCGGGCCGGTGCGGGCACCGGGCGGCATCACCGCACGGGCTAGAGAGGTTGGATGCCGGTCTCGCCCGATACACTCTGCAAGCCTCGGGGGCTGGGAGGAGGCGAAGGAGGAGGAGGAGGAGGAGGAGGAGGAGAAGGAGGAGGAGGAGGAGGAGGAGGAGGTGGAGGAGGAGGAGGAGGAGGAGGAGGACAATGTGCGTGCGAGGAGGAGGAGGAGGCTTCTTCGGGCCCTCCGGGGGCCTCCCGGGAGCCTCCCGAGGGCCTCTCGGGGGCCTCTTGAGGGCCTCCAGTTGCTTCTTGAGGGACTTCTTGGGCTGTCTAAGGGGGCTCTTGGCCCGCCTGACGCCTTCGGAGGCCCTCTTGGGGGCCTCTCTGGGCTGTATCGGTGCGTTTCGGGAGCACTTCAGGGCCGTCTCGGGGCCCTCCTGAGAGCCCCTTGGGCGATCTTTGGGTCCTCTTGGGCCGACTTGGGGCCCTTTCGGGGCCTCTTGGGTTGTCTTGGAGCTATCTGAGCAGCCTTTTGGAGAGCTCTTGCGCCGTCCTAGGCGGCTGGAAGCCCAAACAGGCGAGAACCTCAAGCTCTGTCAACAACAACGACAATCGATGGTTTGGGCATCCTCGGGCTCTCCAGGAGGGCGTCTTGGAGCCCTCTTGGGCCATCTTATGGGCCGCTTGAGCTGTCTTAAGGCCGTCTTGGGAGCCTCTTGAGCCATCTTTGGCCATCTTGGGCCGTCTTGGTATTATCTTGGTGCCGTGGAAGCCGTCATAGAGGCCATCTTGGCCGCTTGGAGGCCGAACAGAGCGCCAGAGAGCACATTTAGGGGCAGCGGTTTTCAGATCGCCCGTGCGTCGAGTGGCGGGGTCGGCCCTAGAACATTCTCAACCTCTCAGACAACAGACGAGCAATCTGACGCGCCCACTCCGTGCAGGCACAGTGGCGGATATCGCACCACACGATTACACATCGAGGGCGCAAACACCCATTGCTTGGAGTCCACGCGGGCAAACCGACGAGTATGATGCTTACAACCCCTTTCCCCCCCACCTCCTCCTCCTTCTCCTCCTCCTCCTCCTCCTCCTCCTCCTCCTCCTCCTCCTCCTCCAGACGTCTTTTGGTCCGTAGCCAATACTGACTCAAGCAATTTCGGCGCAGCGCTGTACATTGCTTGTGCTACTGCACACTTTCACTCTTGCTACCGACCCGCAGACACTGTCGGGTGCAGTGCGGCACACGGCGCCCGTCTCCATTCGCCGTGCCGGGGTCCATGACCGCCATGGCGGCGCGGCTTCTCCTGCTCGCGCCGGCCTTGGCTTCCTCCATTGTCGTTTACCAGCGCGCAGTGGTGGGGGCTCAGCACGCGTCGTCCATGGACCCGGAGGGTCGCAAGCATCTGACGTGCCTCGGCAGAGGCAGAGGTAATGAGACGGCCGACGAGTTCCTGAGCCAATGCAAGGCGTGCCGGCTGTACGGCACGGACGTTCCTCGCATATACATCAAAGAAGGCAAGGACGGCGTCGGCTCCAGGTTTCACGAGGTCATCGCAGGCATGGCCATGGCGGCCCACGTGCACATGGCTCTGGGTGGGGTCATTGTCGGACCGAAAAGTTGCCATCAGTCGCACGGCTTCGATACCTTCAAGGCCGTGAGCACTTTCTTCAACATCACGGATCCGAATCTTCTGCTCACGACGCACGACCCAGGATTCAGCCAGACGCATCCTAAGTTTCAGTCTTTCGAGAAAACGTTGAAGCAGTTTGGGCTCCCCAAGTCTAAGTCGAACATTTTCATCCCAAGCCACTGCCTTGCGTGCGAGCTTGACAAACGTGGAAGCGCGTCGTCGTGGTACACCCCCGAACTTCTTTACGCGCTACGCACGTCGTTCATTTGGAGGAGCCCACTGGCATTCAAGACGGGCGTCACGTCGATAGCTATCCACATCAGGCGCGGCGACGTGAAAGAGAACAAGTCTGCGGCACCGACCTCGGAGGCTGGGAAGATTTGGTCGATGAGAGGCGTCAGTGACGCCTGGTATTTCAGTCTCATCGCGCAGATCTCAGGGACGTGTGCGCCCGACGCGGATATACACGTCTTCAGTTCCCTGGAGGGAAATTGGAACAGCTCTGATTTCGATGGCTACCGCGAGCGGGGCGCCACCGTCCACCTGGATGGTGACCCCATGGAGGCGTGGGCCCACTTCGTCGCCGCCGACGTGCTCGTGATGGCCAAGAGCAGCTTCTCCCACGTGCCCGCGCTGCTGAACGACAACTGCGTGGTCTACCAGCCGTACATGCACCTGCCGCTCGACGGCTGGGTGTCCGCCCAGGCGAACGACTCGGCGCCGCTCGCCGCCCAGGCCGCGGAGGACCTGAGGCACTGCGTCGCGAGCAGGGCGCGCAGGAGGAGGGCCGAGACGGCGTTGCAGGCGGCCCCGGGCGCCGCGCCGCGCCCGGGACTGCAGCATCAGACAGCGTGAGTCGGTACGATCGGAATGGGTACGATACAAGGGCGCCCTCGAGGGCGCGAAGTTATTCGCGCTTCGCGCTTCGCGGTTCGGCTCCGATTCCTCCTCATCCTCCTCTTCTCCCTTGGGAGGCGGCGCGAGAGCGCGAAGTTATTCGCACTTCGCGCTTCGCGCAGCGCGAAGCGCGAAGTTGGGAGCCCTTGACGATAGGCTTGCGTCGTGTCGACCAGCGGCGACCCCAGCGCGGGCGTTCAAGGTTGAACGCCGCCGGCGACCCAGAGTCGATCGATGCTGAACGATCGGACGTTGCGGCAGCGGCCGATCGTTCAAGGTTGAACGATCCCTGCGGTGTCAGAAACCAACGCTGGGGTCGGCACGACACGAACCTGCCGTATGGAAAGAGTGGGCACGAAGACTGGCAGCATTCCTGTTCTTTTTCCCGGAAAGGGCGCAGGCCCAGGGTTCTCTTTTAGCTGGTTTACCCTCGGTTTTGACTTGTTGAGGGCCAGCGAAATTATTCTGCGTAAATAACGAGGTGAAGTTTTTTTTTTGTTGAACAAGTGCGTTTCGTGCCTGCCCGCTCGAGGAATGTGCGCCCCCCATTTCGGATCCTCGATAAAAAACGGTGTCCGCAGACACTCGTTTTCCTTAGTGAAAAAGAGGGTGCGGAGCGTTTTTCGCAGAATCATCGACAAATAACGGGGTCTGGAGCCCCGACCGCGACGCGGAAAAGCGCCCCGCGCGCAGGAATTCCGAGGATGCCGCGTCCCGCGCGCAGGAATTTCGAGGATGTCTCGACTAATTCGTTTGTTTTGCCAGGATTTCTTTGGATTTTGAGAGGATGTCTCGAGCGAAACGCTTGTTTTTCATAATTTGTCGAGGATGTCTCGAGCGAAACGCTGGTTTTGCAAAATTGAGGGGGGTGTCTCGAGCGGGGGCTTCGTGGGTGGCCAGCATTCAGAGGATGTCTCGAGCGAAATGCGTGTTTTCACGTCCCGCTGGCAGGAATTCAGAGGATGTCTCGCGCGTGCCGCGTCCCTCGCGCAGGAATGTTGAGGATGTTTGACAAATTTGTTTGTTTAGCGAGGATTTCTTGGGATTTTGACACGATGTCTCGAGCGAAACGCTTGTTTTTCATGATTTGTTGAGGATGTCTCGAGCGAAACGCTGGTTGCCAGGATTTCTTTTGATTTTGACAGGATGTCTCGAGCGAAACGCTTGTTTTTCATAATTGGTTGAGGATGTCTCGAGCGAAACGCTGGTTTTGCAAAATTGGAGGGTGTCTCGAGCGGGGGCCTCGTGGGTGGCCAGCATTCAGAGGATGTCTCATGCGAAATGCTTGTTTTCACGTCCCGCTGGCAGGAATTCCGAGGATGTCTCGCGCGTGCCGCGTCCGGCGCGCAGGAATGTTGAGGATATCTCGGCACATTTGTTTGTTTAGCGAGGATTTCTTGGGATTTTGTCAGGATATCTCGAGCGAACCGCTTGTTTTTCATAATTTGTTGAGGATGTCTCGAGCGAAACGCTGGCTTTGCAAACTTGGAGGATGTCTCGAGCGGGGGCCTCGTGGGTGGCCAGAATTCAGAGGATGTCTCAGGCGAAATGCTTGTTTTCACGTCCCGCTGGCAGGAATTCAGAGGATTCACGTCACGCTCGCTTGGCACGTTCCGTGGGGCGTCCCTTGGCGAGTCCCCCTGGCACGTCGCGTGGCGCGTCCCCTGGCACATCCCGTGGCGCATCCATTGGCACGTTCCGTAGCGCGTCCCCTTGGCACGTCCCGCGGTGCGTTCCCATGGCACGTCCCTTGGCACGTCGCTTGGTGCGTCCATTGAGACGTTCCGCGTCGCGTCCTCCTGGCATGGTCCCCTGTCCATTGGCTCTGGGGCAGCTACTATGTGTTCAGGCAGCTCGAGCTTAACATCCAGATCAGTTCGGTCAGGACTCGGATGCAAAGGAGGAATCGATCCACGAGGCTATAGAGCACAATCGCGCCATGGCACATCGCACTTCAGCACGGCGCAGCACAGCACAGCCCTCGGCACGGTACATCAAGATCGATACACTCAGCATTGCAATTTGGCACGTTCCTTGGCACGTTCCGTGGGGCGTCCCTTGGCGAGTCCCCCTGGCACGTCGCGTGGCGCGTCCCCTGGCACATCCCGTGGCACATCCATTGGCACGTTCCGTAGCGCGTCCCCTTGGCACGTCCCGCGGTGCGACCCCATGGCACGTCCCCTGGCACGTCGCCTGGCGCATCCCTTGGGACGTTTCGCGGCGCGTCCTCCTGGCATGTTCCCCTGTCCATTAGCTCTGGGGCAGCTACTATGTGTTCAGGCAGCTCGAGCTTAAGATCCAGATCAGTTCGGTCAGGACTCGGATGCAAAGGAGGAATCGATCCACGAGGCTATAGAGCACAATCGCGCCATGGCACATCGCACTTCAGCACGGCGCAGCACAGCACAGCCCTCGGCACGGTACATCAAGATCGATACACTCAGCATTGCATTTGCCCGTCACCCAATCAGGTGTCTTTGAAAACGCTGCCATGTGTTACAGTTCTATATTCCTTTCCGGCTTCGTGGATCGATCATGTTTCGGATCGGACTCGCTGTCAGTGTCGCCGCGGACGCCGCCCGCTCGAGGCAGAAGGCCGCCTGCCCAAGAGTGGCCGCTGCCGATGCTGGACAACCTTTGCTGTCGGGCATCGTGCCCATTTGCTTCGCACCCACTGCGGGGGCGTCCAGAGCGAGTCGTCGCTGGCCGAGGTCTTTTTCCCATGCCCAGCTGTCGCCCCAACGATGGGCCAGCGCGGGGGCGCGGGTAGTCACCACCCACCAAACCACCCCAACCCAACCCGAAGGCCTCCATTTGCCCTCCATTTCCAGTTGGGGGGGGGGGTAGGGGAACACTGAAAGAACACATATGGAACCCGTACCCCCCCCCCAACCCGAAATTGGGGTCTTCGGGTCGGGTTGGGGTGGTCTGGTAGGTAGTCAGGTAGAATCCCAGCCTCTGCAGGGACCCCTTTTCGGCCCAGGCCCCGCGGCGCTCACAGAGGAGGGCCCCGTGGCGGCCACGGCCTGACCATCCGGCGGCGGAGGGAGGAGGAGGAGGCTCCAGTGGTTCAGGAGGGGAACACACACACAGACACAGTGAATCGTCGCCTCCCAGGAGCGTGTGGGAAGCTGTGGGAGGGGGGAGGGGGGAAGACAAACACCCACAACATGTGGGAAAGCATGGGGAATCCTGTGGTCTGTGTGTATTTTTTTTTTTTGTGTCCCGGGGCCCCTTCACTGGTGCCCAGTGGAGGGTCCGGCGGCGGAGGACGGCATTCTTTTCCCCGGTGGCGCCCGGATGCGCTTCTGGTGACGGGCCGCCTCTCCCGGCAGACTCGAGGCTCCGCGCCGTCGGGGCGGCGAGGCCGGGGGGCCCCGCCCGCAACGGCCTGGCAATCCAGCGGATGAGGTGGACGAGGGGGGTCCTCGGGTGCCTTGCAGAGGATTGGGCGGCGGACGAAGGCATTTTTTTGTGCCCCAGTGGCGCCTATTGGCGCTTCTGGTGAGGCTTTCTCTCTCCCTCTCTCTCTCTCTCTTGTTCGGAAGACCAGGGGCTCGACCCGGTCGGGGCGGAGAGGCGAGAGAGCCCACAACGGCCTGGCAACCCAGCGCAAGAGGTCACAGCATCCTATACGGTCGGGACTTTTGCAGCTTCTGTGCCGGCCTGCTGCGCTCCGGCGCGACACGCTATCAACGTCTCGAAGCGTTCTAGGGCGGTCCGGGAGCCTCGGGGGCCTCTGGGAGAACCGCCCGGGGGTGGGGATCTCCGATATACGCATATACATATATCACACACATATATATATATGTATATATATATATATGTACGTAGTTGTATGTGTAGTTATACATGTAAATTCATGTGCTGATGTACATGTATGTATATTTAGGTAAATAAACATGCGCATGCCTAGGCAATGCACGTGTACATGTACATGTAGATGCACATGTACATGTACATGTCTATGTGCATGTGCATGAGTACTGATATGGTTGTGTACATGCGTATGTGTATGTGCATGTATATACGTTTGACTATAATTGTATGGGTATGTGTTCATGTACATGTAAGTGTTCATCCAGGTGTTTATGCATTTGTAGATGGACATACATGTGTATATGAACATGTGCAATTGTGTGTATGTGCACGTATGTGTATACGCATTTGTTGTATATGTATATGTCTATGTAGATGCGTATGTAGAAAGCTGTCAATGTATGCGTAAGAATACACGTGCATGTGCACGTGAATGTATATTTGTATGTGTATGCATCGGTGTATGTGAATGTGTATGCGTATGTGCATGTGCATGCATTTGCATATGTATACGTGTATGCACAGGTATGTGTACATGTATGTAGGTGTGTGTATTTATAGCTGTGGTGCAATGTGCGTGGTGCAACCTCTGATGTGCAATCTTTGTGGTGTAATATCTGCGATCCGTTCTATTTGGTGCAGTATAGGTTGTGCATTCTTTGTGGTGAAGCACATGTTGTGTAAGGTATGTGGTGCAATCTAGGTTTTGCAATCCATGCGGATCAAGAGATATATATATATATATATACATATATACATATGGTGCGAGCTATGTGGTGCAACCAATGTGCTGCAAGCTATGTGGTGCAATTAGTTTCTGTTCGCAGTGAGTTGTCAATTCCACTGCTCGCGCAATCATCCCACCCATTCCCACCCGCAACTTGGCGTGCATAAGCCCATGCGGCGGCGATTGCGATGAGTGCTTGGTATTGGCTGGTGCATCTCTGCGGCCGCGCTAGCCCGCGCATGCTCGCGCGCGCAGCGGCCAGCAAGTTTGGCGCGACCGGCGCGGCCGCGCCGACCGCTGGGCACTTCCCAGCGGGCATTTCAGTGCGAGTCGACGGCTTTGGCGGGCGGGGTATCCTGGCAACGTCGACAAAGGACACGAGGATGATAGTATCGATGCTGGTGACGATGGTGGCAACGACGACGGCAAGGCCAGTGACGGCGCCGATGCTGCTCACGCCGGCGACGATGACGGTGTCCTCGCGGCGGTAGTGACATTTGCAGAAGGAGTTCGACGCGCGCGCGGTCGACGCGCGAGAGTGGCCCGCATGGTATTATTTGTCGCTGACCGTGCCCCCTCCAGCACGCGCGCTGGGGCGTTCGAACGATTTCGACATGCGGCGCGAGAGGCCCGCCCGTTTGGCATTTTTTTTTTTTTTTTTTTTTTTTTTTTT